ACTTTCCTTCCCCCTTCTACTGCCCCAGCGTTGCAAGTATAGAAGACAGAAATTTTGTCACTAGTGCAAAGTACGGGGGAAAACAGCAACAGCATTGGCTCTGAACCACACCTCAAACTCCCCTGTAAGTGGATGGTGGACGCTTCACAGGTTTAAGGCTGCTTCCAAAGCATGGAGAGGCAGTGAGGAGTCCTCCTGGAGACAGGGCACACATCAGAAGGGAAATATCTGACTGGGGGCACAGAGCTGTTTCTGTGCTTGGCTGACCTTCCCTCTTCAAGGCCAGTGTGGTGCAGAACCATGTGTGCACTGGAGATGTCTGCAGCGGGAGTATTCCCTTCCAGTGTGGTCCCATGGCCCTGTTCTAAATGATGATATTTTATAAACAGAGGCATCTTGAAGTATAAAAAGCATTCCTTGTTCTTCTCCTACCATTGTGCTTTGTAGTCTCTCTGGTTATTTAATGCCTGGTATTCTTGGTCTCTTGCTTCATTTTCTGAATTCTGGTTTGTTGTGCTGATTTAGCGGGTACGTGGAAGTCCCATCCCAAATGGCATTCACTGAAAAACTCCACAGTCTATTGAACAGCTAAATAATTTTAGGCATTCTTAGGTTCCTAAAGCATTAGGTCCCCAGCTTATGCTTCCATAGAAAGATTTCCAGTGAATCAGACCCCAGGCACACACACATGCACATGCAGTTTTCCATTCCTAATCAATCTTCTGCAGCTAAGTGGCTCTTAGTTAAATGTGAGAACCCTGCTGTTGTGTCGCACCACCGACAATATATGAAATGCTGTTGAGCACCAAAACAGGTATTACCAGTTTCTTGATCCTCCTCCTGCACAGCAGAAGAGTTTCTGGACCCTGCAGGCTGAAGTTTTCCCAGCCCTGCACCCAGTATTGACCTCACATCCTATCCAGTGATGAAATCAAAGTAGTGCAACCTGCAGGCCAGCGCTTTCCTCTCCCGTTTCAATTGGTTACAAGTAAGGTCTGGTTTACAAAATCATGTTTTTTCCAAAATAATTATTTCCAAGAATCACCACAAATGGGGGAATTGTCATTTTTGTTGTATTTGTGTTTATTAGAACATATGTACTTATTACAATTGTCATTGTAATAAACAGTAGTTCTTCATAATACTGTTGAAGAGCAGTTACTAATTTTTTTCCAGACTCCAGAATGTCCTTTAACCTTTATGGGATCTCTGAATGGGGCAAGGAGTTTGGGATCAGGCCATAAACTTAATTTCATCAGCACGTCTCTGCCTACTGGAGTTCATCCTTCTGCCAATACTTGAGCAGGTGCATGGAGAGCGCTTCAAGGGAAAACATTTTTCTGAAGGTGCAAATGGTTGGGGTTGCTGAGCTCCCTAGACAGTTCATAGCCAGGCTGTTGTGCCTCTCTTCTTTTCTCTCTATTGAAGCACATATAAAAAAAAAAAAAAAATTAAAAAGCTGAACTTCGTTTCCTGAAAATTCCTTGTATCCTGTTTCTGATCTGAGGACCATAGCCCTCTCACTGCTTGTGTCAAGGGGGGAGTGACTGATTTAGGGAGCCAGGGCAGTGAAATTCTTTGGGGGCACCAGAATTGTGGCTGTGCTGAGGGGAGAGCAGTGTTCTGAAAGGGGAAAGAGTTGTCCTTCCCCCCCCACCCCCTGTGAGTAACCCATTCTTCTGTTATGGTTTTAATATGCATTTGTAATTACCTTTACTAAATAGCACACCATAAAGCTTTGGTTATATATTAAATGTAAACTGAAAGGAATGTAAACATATGTATTGTTAATTATAAATAGATAATTAATGGCATAATAGATACAAAAAAGTCTTATTCAGATGTATCAGTCATTTTACGTTATCCACAAACTGTCGCATGATAGAGTAGATTTTTGTCTGAATATGTGAATAACTTGACTTGCGTTTATCTTTTTACATATTTAATAAAAAAATATATGTTAAAATCTGTCTAGCTCTAGAGACTATTCGGAACATTCTAAAATAATAATTTTCTGGATTAAATACATATTTTTGGTTCATCAGGGGCTGCATATGGGAGCAGGAAGAAAAAGGCAGCTGCTTTAAAAGCCCAGAAGTTCACTTACCCTGTGTGTGTGGATAGCACCTGTTTCACCAAGAGCTCAGCAACTCTATTCCCTTTTATAAATCAAAACAGAAAATGCATGCATGTATGTGCATGTAAACAGCACATTTTTCTTTATGGTAATTGCTTTCAGATTTTGGAGTGCTAACTCCGTTGGGTGTCAGTCTGAAGCAAAACTGGCAGCAGCCAGGAGGCAAAGAAAGCACTACAGAAAGATGCCAAAGCTCCCAGTGGGCTTCCTCACAGTGGCCAGGTATTCAGGGATGAATCTTCAATGCAGTACCTAAAAGCCATCTAGACTTTAGATCAAAGTATGAGGTTTTGTGGGGAGGGAAGGGTGAAAATTCATTGTAGTTCTCACAGCTCTGGTCTTTTTTAGCTGCAGTAATTGCTGCTCAAGTGCAGGAGTTCTGAGCCTTGGGTCAGGACCCTTTTCTTCTGTGTTGAAGTGATGCTGTTGTGAGCCACCAGCCTGCACCCTGCTGCTCCAGGTATCCCTCGGCCTCTGACAGGGGAGGGAGGGGAGGATGAAGCAGGAACCCATTTCCAACCCAGGTGTTCACAGCTGGGAGAGCAGCTCTTGTCTAGTTGCTTTTCATAAGACCAGGAGGAAGGCATGTCCTTGGGTTAGTGCAAATGCTCTAAAGCTTAAAAAAAAGTGATATATTTTCCAGTTCAAATAGTTGACAACTTTCTGCCATGTTGTGACCAAAAAAATTTATTGTTAGGTCATCTACATACCTGACTTTGCAAAATAAATCTGTGACCATACAGCCCTATGAACAAAAGCATTTTTCTTCCTATTCATTGAACCAGTTGCCATCTATGATGGCTAATAATTCAATATATACACTGTGCAGTACATGATCTCTTTTTATACTTGTCTTTATACAGATTGTAGTGACAAATTGATTTAAAGAGGAAAAAGAAAGTTATTTGCAATGTTTTCCTGTAGAAGGTGAAAAAACTGGCCAGAGATTAATGTCCTTTAAAAGTGATACTTGCTTTCCCTTTAGAAAGGTTCAAGTGCAGGCAGGTTGTGGTAGTTCAAGTTTTAAAATTTAATTTAATGAATATTTCAAAACACTCCATTCCAGTGCATCAAATTGCACTGCTTCTGTGACCCTTATTTCCAGCTGTTTCCTAAATAAGTGCAAGACAGATGGAAAAAGGAAGCCTATCTACAGAGTTTCTCCAGTACGACCACATTCAATTTGGAGTTATTTTTGTTTATTGTATCCTAATTCTTTTCTCACCAGAATTTCCTCAATACTTATGATGGAAAGGTGAAATACAAACTACCTTTATAAAGCAGGTGAGACTTTTGTGGCAGTGTATCAGGTATTGGATGTAATATTTAACTTCATCCAACGCTGAGACTGCTGGGTGTGTGCAGCAATGTCAAACTCCTCACTCCCTTTCAAATGCAGTCAGAACTGCCTTTTTTGGCAAACCTCATAGAATAAAGAGCCTTCAGACTTACTCCAGGCGAGTTCTTGGGCAGTTAGGGAGCACTTCTCTGGAGACCCCATGCTCCCTGGGCATCACACGGGGTAAGGGCATTGCTGCCACACCATCGGGGAGAAAGGCTGGGAGATGCTGCTTGTAGCTGGGCTGCAGGGGTTCCAAAGGGCATCCTCCCTTCCCTGCCCAGCTCTTGGCAAACCACACAGCATGACTTGTCCCCTCTGCCTAAATCACACCTGGAGCTGCTTGAACTGTGACTCATCTGATGTTCATTTGGGGGGTGGGACCCTGAATGTGCTTGTTTGGTAGGCGGAACATGGATTCTGTCAAACCTGAAGGAACTTCCTGGTATTTCTGCTTTGTGACAGGGGAAGCTGATGTTCTGGCTTGTCCCCTGGTGCCTGTGGTAAAGGCTGCCTGGGGAAATCAGCCCTGCTGGTGTTGTGGTAGGGCAACTGCTGTAACAGGCAGTACCACCTTAAGCTGAAGCTGCTCATACAACTTGCCAGTGCTCAGCTGAAAATATTAATAGGAGCTACTGACGTGAGGGTAAATTAACCTGGGGGGAAAAATGATCAGGCTAGTAATAAACCCACAGAAACAGTCTAAGCACTGGAAAAGATGAACTTCAGACTCAGCTCAGCAGCTCAAAAACTGCACTTCCCCATGGCTTCTGGCAAATGAGATGGTTAAATAGTTAATAAATGTGCCAGGCTGTCAATCACATCCCTCTGTGCTTACCTTGGGGAAGTGGACAGACTGTTTAATTAGTGCTTCAAGGCCACAAAGGCCCTCAGGCTAGGGCAACATATGAAAAGAGATGAAACTGAAATTCTTACTCCCTCCTCCAAGGCACACAGAAAACCTACGTGTATTATAGATGAAGGGAGGAGTTTACATCTGCATGCAAACATGTAATGTTAGAAAAAAAAAAAAATCTTGTTTCTGTTTCTAAAACCACAAGAATTTGCTCCAAGCACACAGGTAAATAATGACTTGTTTAGCATTTTGCACTGGTGGATGATGTTGGACTGAAACAAGTTTTGAAGAGAAATATGTGAGTCTTCAAAGGTCTGCTGGCCAAATTTATTTTCAGCTGTTTACCTTTGTAGGCTATATTGTTTGTTGCTACTGAAATATAAACAATGTGCTTGTTACTGCCTAGAAAATAAATAGAAGGGCCAGCTGCTGCTGTATTAAGCCTGCATTTCTGACAGGTCAGCTGAGACTCAATGCTGAGAATGGGAAAAAAACAGTACATTCCAAAAACACTTTACTGTACCCATAGCTTTCTGAGCTCATTCACTTGTCTTCACACATTCATATGAGGTGAGGAAAAGACTGAATAAGCCGCACAAGCCTTTCAGGAGTTGTGTGGAAGAAATGAGTTGTGAGAAAATAAATACGGCAAATGAAGCAGGCACAAATGTCTGGGTGGGAAGGACATACAGGGAGGGTTTGCATTGCTGGGGTCCTACTGGTGACTAGGCTGGGCAAAACCAGTGCTGGTTATGAATCACCGAAGATCTTGTGTAACCCAGCATGGATTTATCAGGACTTTGGACACAGTGGTAAGGAGGAGGAAGACAAAACAGAGGTGAGTAACACAGCTTGGTAAAAAGAATAAGCATCAACAGAACAGCTTGGTAAAGTTCTCTGCTGGACAGGCATCTTCCTCTGAGATGAAGCATCTGGCTGCGTAGCTCGTTGTTGCAGTGGTTCAGATATCTGTACTATTCTATTCTTTGGTTATTTTAATCAGACTCATCCCAACTATTTATCACATCAGAAGAGCTGCAAATCTCCATGTCAAGTGTTACAGTCTGATCTCAGTGCAGGTGTTCACTCTTGGATGCGTTTCTTCAGGGAAAAGATGTAAATGTTCAAGTGCTCACTCAGCTGCCTACCCTAAAGAGAAATTGCAGAGATTAGCAACCTGTTTTGTATGCGCTTCACAATTCACTGCCTCTCCTCTCCCAGTGAGAGGGGGGAGGACCCAGCCACAGTCCTCACATACTTGGGGATCTGTGAGTACACAGGGACCTGTAAGTATTCAAACAAGAGAACTGTTTTCCTTACATTCCTCTTGCAACACACTGCTGGGAAGTGAAATGGCTACAGACCAGATTCACAGGTGACATAAGCTGTGATGGAGCTGGGCCCCTCAGTGAATTGTGAATTTTGACCAGGTATTTCCATTCTGATCTCCACCAGCAGGCCCATGTCGGATGCTCAGGTAAACTCCACTATGCCACCAATGTCTGCTGACAAAAGGCTGCTTTCAAAGAAAAATCCTTACATCCCAGTGGTGTGGCTTAAATAAAAGAATGATGACAAGCTCCCTCTGAAATGAGACCTTTGCCATGCAAGGTGTTTTATCTAAAAGCTAACACCATTACAGCAGTTGCTAAAGGATCGTTTGACAATTTAGAAAAGTGGACATCAACTAAGTAAAACTTAATTTAAGCAGTAGTTCAGATGACAGTGATAAGACAGATGTAGCAGACACAAAAATGTGCTGGCGAGATTGAATGAACTGGAAAACTATTCATGTCACCAGCTTGAGAGATGCTAGCAGAGGGCCAAGAAAAAATTGGGACATCTATTTTGCCTGCAGATTCAAAGCAAAGTTGACCTTATTTTATTATTTCTATTTATGTCACTTTGCATTTTACCTTCCTATTTTTTCAGTCAAGTGACCTTAGGAAGAAGAAAGGCAAAAAAAGAGGGGCGGAATCATTCATGCCACATGGGTTGACTGCTACATAAAACCACTCCATAAATATTATAATTTTGATGTGTTTAAAGCCAAAACCAGTTGACTACACTGGAATAATTCAAGTCACTGAAGTTGCTGCACATGCAAAAAGGCATTGCCTGCAATAAACTGATTTATTTTTCTTAACTTTAGACTAAATAAAATAACACACAGGACTAAAAAACAACCCCAAAACATAAAGATCCAGACTCCCAGACAACGCCCCAACCAGAAACTGTTTCCAGAGCCCTCTGCTCACCACGCAGACCCCGTAGTGCACATGGGCAGCCGTGACCAGGGCGGTGAACACGCCGAGAACCGCTTCTTCCATGCAGCCCAGCAGCCCGGAGATGGCCGCGTACACCACCAGCGCCAGCGGGAACAGGAACCAGTGGAACAGCTCCGGCCGGGTGCTGCTCATCTGGCAGACGATCACCTTGCACTGTCGGAGCAAAAGGGGCCAGGTGAGAAGTGCTGGGCCAGCCCCAAGGGTCTCAGGAAAAGTACTTCCATTTTCTCCGTGGGTTGCTTTGGGTGAGGGGGAAACAGGGCTACAGTTCAAAATGGGGCTTGTTTCTGGTGAGCTGCTGCTACACGTACACACCTCTCTGCCTCACTGGGTCTAGAGGACATTATTGCAATTTAAAATACACCATTTTTGGAGACCGTGTTGTGTGCGATACACTTGATAAGCAGAAGCACGTCCTCACAAAAGGGGAATTTGTTTGCCACCTTATGTTTTCACAGGGGATCATAAAACTGATCCCAAATCAAATGTGCCACCACTTAATCACCGGGAGAGTCTGCTGGTATTTTAACCACGCAGCCTGACAGAAATATCTTCTGGTTCATTGTATAGAAGGGAGGGAAGACAATATATGACATTTTCACATCCTGGTTTTACTTTTCTAGCACTCCTTTATGTACTAAAACACCAATTTCTTGGCTCCATCATGGCAGTGGGCTCCCTGGAGATGTAGCTGGGGGCCCAAAGAAAGGGATCCCACTCAGAATGGCAGAAAAAATTAATCTATGGTGCGTGGTTTAACTGAAGGCAATTACTGAGTTCTGGAAATATAATGAGACAAATTGACTTGAAATTCAGTATTTTAAAAGCAATTAAGCACACTGAAGTGTTTTGTCTGGTTTAGGCTTCTTAAGAAATGTGTTCATGCCCGTTACAAAAAAGAAGAGGAATTTGGCACATCTGAAATATTTTATTGATTTAAGTTTCACTCAGAACTGAAATGTGGTTAAAAATAGATTTTATGTATCCTGAAAACAGCAGAAGAATGAAAAACTCATTCCCTGTGCAATGCCTGAAATCTTATGACAGCAGCAGTAGGAGTCTGACCATAGGAAAGAAATACTAGCTTTACTGCCTTTGCTGTGGAAGCTAAAGAATGCAAAAATAAACCATGAAAAAATAATTAGCTTTGAATAGTGGAAGAAGTAAGCTTTTGTACCTAATGTTAATATTTTCACTTACATTCTGAGTATTGAATATGATTTTTTTTAATAACACTTGTTTTATGAGTCCTTTGGGAATCATTCTAGAGGGTATCAGAAACTGCTAAAGCAATCTATAAGCTATAATTTTTCTGACTACATAACTGAACCTGACCATAGGTTGGATTTCACATTGTTTTAAACCATTATTATACTTATATATTTGGGAGACCAAAGGCATGAGAAGTTCCAGGTCTGGCAGGTAGAGAACCATGGTCTGCAAGTCTGTGGTCTGCAGAACAGGTAATGGAAACCCAATGTGTCAGGCTATCATGGAGAAGAAAAGTATTGCCATGACAAGCCTTGCTGGAAGAAATGTGTCTAAGGGACCAGAAGAAGTGAAAGGAAATGCAGGCTTGATTTTCATTTTAGAATGTTACAAATTCCAACTAACACCTATACATTTTTAATGCTTGCTTTTGAAATGTTAAAATTTTTAGCTAACATTCATACATTTTTGATTCACATGAGCCTCCAACACTGCAATGTATTTTTTGGGAAAAGAAAAAACAAAGCCTGAAGAATATGTGTTGTACTCGGTGTCTGATAAACTGCAGCCTGTAAAGAAACTTCTGGTTTGCCTTATTATTTTTCTTCTGCAAGCATCCTGCCACAATCACTCTTGATTGACTAAGATGTATGTGCAGAATGTGCCATCTGCCAAACTCTGAAAGCATTTTCCATACTGGCATGAAGCAATTGTATTTCTCATTTTGGAATCTTCCCTATTCTCTTAAGAAAAAGAGGTAGATTTGGTAATGAATAATGAGTACAGTAAAACTTACACATCTGAAAAGCAACTCGTTTTTGTGAGATTAAGTCCTTAAGATGGAACTGTTTGATTTGTGACCCTCAGAAATGCACATTTATAGGATACATCTAGCAAACATCACAATTATAACTTTTTCTCCATTCCTGAATTCAGATTTCTAAAGGGGCTATGCTTTCTCTTTTAAAACCTCTCATTTTTGAAGATCTGTCTCATAGAGCAAGGCATCTCTAGGCCTTTCACTTTTTAAACTGGATGTAGCATTGCTTAGTAGCAAGATTTTAGATGGTGTTGGAGACTATTTTCCTAGGTTGACACTAGTCACTATCCTCTAGGGTATTTTTGCTCAAATGCAAGAACACCTTTCTGCTTGGCTGCTCTCCTGGCTTCCCCCAGAGAAGGAAGCCCTGGGTTACCTGCAGGGCTCAGCACCACTGTCTAGCTGCCCGTGCTAGAACTGCACAGAGGTTTATGTTGTCTCTTGGGAATCAAAGGGGGGAAACTGGTCACCATGATGTGGCACACAGCAATCTGTGAGCAGAGAGCCACCACGAGGCCTCTACAGCTCTTCACATCTTTCCCTAAAACACGCTGTCAGTGGTATGGCCTTTTTCTAAATGGTGAAGGGAAAATGTAGGGTCAGCTGAACTGCAGGGTATTGGAATGTATGTACCACATTAAGGGACACACAAGCAAGGGAAAGCTACAAGCCCTCCACTCTTGCAAGTAAATCTGTGCCAGTGTTGACCTTTATTTTACTTTGACAAGTCCCCAGTTCTGCCTGTATGTTGGGGAGTATCTGTTACATTTCTGGAAGTAAGGCATCCCTAGGGTTTTCGTAAACCCTCAGAAAACAAACCAGAACCCTCATAAAAGTGTTACACTGTGGCAGAGGAGGTATTTCAGTACTGTAAGAGTCTAGACACAGAGTTTGTGGTGTGCTTTTATGAGACAGAGGTAGAAGATCTGTGTGACTGCTGATTTTAGCTACATTTCCTGCTCACTTCTGCTCATTCACAGAAAAATAGAAAGCTATCTTTAAATAATACCATCACCTCAAATATACTCACAATAACGTTGGAGAAAGCAACCCCAACCATCCATAAAAAGAGTCTGGGTTGCTTTGCTAATATGTTGCTTGGAGATAAAACCACCCAGACTGTAAGAAGAATGAACAGCAACAGAGGTGACACAAGAGGTAGCAGTCCTTCATAGAGAGAATCATTCTTCAGTGTTTTCTTTAAATGTGCTCTGGAAATAAATACAATAATGTTGTAGATAAAGTAAATTTATCCATTCTATTTCTATACAGTAACTTCAAACTCTAGAACAAACTCAGCCCCAAGAATTCATCTTGCAACCAGTGCAAATGTGCTAGATACCAGACATTTTTCAAGAAATTGTATTATACCCAAATAACATTTATTTCTGGGGTTAAATTATACTGATTTATTCACATAATTCCTGATCAGCTTCACTTGCTCACCACTGTCTGGCAATGTACCAGTAAACTCACACAGAGTGAGCTGCAGTACTCTCAAGTATGCAGACATGCTGTGAATTCAAAATACACGGCTTTAGAGGATGAAGCTTCTAACATGAGACATAAAATTGTTTCAATCAATACACCCCATGTTTTCAGAAGCAGCAGTCAAGCACATGGCTGGCAGGTATTGCTGTTGTTTAGGTCTGGAGGTGATGCTGCTTGACAATCCTCTACATAAGGATTTAGGTGCTTAAGCCCAAGTAGTACAGCCTAAAGGGGAAGCTTTTTGGCTAATTAGAGTACAGGAAAATTAATGATGCATTGTGTTTTCTTGGGTATTTTAAGCTGGTTTTTAAAGGCAGTAAATGATTGCATTTTCTGTCAGCTAGGGAAATGGTAACTCTAAGTTCACTACCACTAAACCATCCCTTCATCCAGCTAGTTCAGAAGAGTGATTCTGTGTTTGAAATGTACTGGGAAATGTCCTGTTTAAAATCTTTGAACATATGTATTTATAGAAGCAGCTAGACAAAAATCCAAGAAATATCTTTCTCATGCCAAAAAGGAATAATCTACTCCTAAAATAACAACTGAGAACAGGCATCAGGATGAAGAAAGAGAGGAGATGATTGGAAAACTCAAATCCTTCATCACCAAAGAGCGTGAGTGTGCATCATTCCAGCAAACCTGACTGGTCGTTTAAAATTGTTGTGCTCTTCTCTTCAGAGGAACGATAAACCCAGGGGAAGGCTTGAGAGGAACTATGTCAAGTGATGACTTGAAAAGGAAAACACTAAACAAAAGTCCCAACAGGAGAGGAAGGAAACCAAACCCTCAATGTTCATTGGGGTGAAGGCTGCTCCTGCCAGGGGCTGACATGCACAAGGTGCTTCCCTCCTCCTCTCAGTCATGCCCCAACCAGATTTCCTCGCACGGCTGGTTCCCAGCCCCCTGCCCCACAGCCCAGCCTTTCTGCAGGTCCTCAGCCTTTCCTGCCCCACATCTCCCAACTCTCCCACACTTCCTGCCCCAAACCCGGGGCTGTGCATGCTTTTGGTGACTGCACTGAGTACCACCACACAAAAAGGGCTGTGTAGGAGAAATGACATATGGTCCATTGTCTTACAGTCTCTCCAAAATTTAAATGTTAATATTGGTTTCCACTAATTCCTGAAGACAGACAGTGACAGTCCCTCCTCCAGGACACTTAGGACCTGAGAGACCTGAAGTGACAGATGAGTGAAATGAACTAGCAAATACTAGTGGAAGGCAGGCAGCATTAATAAAAATAGGCCATGGGAGTATAAACTAACCATGTATAAAATTCCTGGGTGCAGCAAGCCAGTTCTTAGATGTAATCACAGCTTGCCACCTGCCTAGCTTACATCTGATAGCAATTATCTGCAGACTTCATACAGAGGAGACTTTTACAGAAGGACCAGGAAGACAATCAAGCACTTCACAGAGTGCAGGATGGTCAGCTATGGAATTCCACCCAGCACAGGCAGAAGTTACACATCACATTTGATTGCAAACAAAATGCAGTGTTTTTTACTACAGGGCCTTTATCAGTGCAGGACTACTGTGAGACTGCCTGGAGAACAGCAAGTGAAAGGAAAAGGAGAGAGCTGTAAACATGAAAAAGAAACCAGTCAGATTCTGAAAACTCACCAGAAAAACCTTTTATTACACGATCAGGACAGCATCTGGATGAAAGAAGCTAGGCTACTTCAAGCATTACATTTATTTGTAAATGAGGAAACCATTAAATATACAGAATTAGATAGGAGGTGATAGAACTCATTTAATGTTAATTAACTTACCTGTGAATGTTGTATAATGTTTGTGGAAATGATAGAAACAAACTGAAGCCTGGAAGAGAGAAACATTAATACGTAATTCAACACTGATGACCTCAGAGTTTTCTCATATGACAACAGACCCAGTGGGCTTTCTAAAAATGATTTAGTATTCCTGTACTCATTACAGGATATGAACTGAGTTTGGGGCCTTAGGCAATAACAAAACTGTTCTCTTTTTTTATCAAAACCTAGCTGCTATAAATAGTTTCTGATACAGAATTTCCTGTGTAATAAGTGACAAGACCAGAATTTTTTATAAAAATTCTGATGTAGCTAATAGATAGGATCAGTTATTTTTCATACAAGCTTCTCTGCTGGACCCAGAAGAGCCCTACTTTCCATGAGCTGCTGCTATCTAGAAAAATCCAAGTCTAACACCAAAAGCCTTCCAGTGGAATATAGAAAGATAATGAACTTCAAGCTAGGCTGTTCACATTACTGGAGAAATAAGTTTATAGTTCAAAATATTAAGGGTCAACTAATGATCCGTTTTGATAATACAATAGCTTGAATGAATAAATTTTCATGACATATCCATCATTTGAATAAGTGGGGTTTTTTTACTTCTTTTGTAACACAGCTGTGATGTTTCTGGAGCTCAGCTTTAACCCACAAAGCACAAGAGTTTCACCTTTGCTGACTCTGTGTCTCTGTGTACCACTGCTGGTATTATCAGCACAGCTGCCAGCAGCCTCTGAGCTGCCTGAAGACCCAGCTGTACCCACGTCCAAAATAGGCTGGTCCACCCAAGAGCCAAAGAAGACCTTCAGCAATGAGTGGAAGTTTGAGATTGAAACAAAAAAAAAAAACAAAACAAAAAAAACCAACCGTATGAGTCAGCCCTAACTAGGTGAAAATATACATCACATTTTTAAGTTTACATCATTCCCTGTAGAGCTCTTTGCTTTGTACTTTTCCCCCTCACTTTCTGTGTATTGAGGGCTTTTCCCTGGTCAGTTTACTGCTTGGAGATTGCTCTGGGTAGCATATTTCTGCACGGCTTTTTTATTATAGGGCATGAGAATTGGGTGTGTTGCACTAAATTAATACATAATTCCTATTTTATTATGGGCAAGAAAAGCTCTCTGATGTGTTAGCCTTTCCGGTTGTGACCTAAAATATTTCATTTAAGAAGCACTCTGCTGCCTGTACAGAAAAGCAGAAAACTTTAATCTCATTATTAGCAACACGGGGGAGGAAAATGAGTAAAGAGATGATTTCAGATGACTTTTTACTGGGGCTAACGTGACAGAGCAGTGTCTTGAGAAATGTCAGTGTTTACCCTTCAGTCCTCATCAAGGACACACAAGTGTTTATTTTGCGTCCTGGCCACAGTGGTAACTCAAGAGAAGGAAAACTAAACATGAAAGAATAGTTGAGATCAGGATTGTTGGAAAAGAGAAGTAAAAAGGGATGCAATAGATAATCTGTCTCTCCAGTCTTTCTGGTTATCTGCTAAAGAGAAGGAAACAAAGAATTGGAAAAAAATATAAAAGCCAGCCAGTGAATAATTTCAGGTACTGCATTTTTTTCATGTTTACTTTTTGGATTTGCTTTTTAAAACAATTAAGAGCTCTGCTTCTTTACCACAACAGACAGCTATTTGCTATCAAACAGCTGAAGGATGTGCAATTGAAGCAATATCCCAAATATTTTGTCAATATATTTCTAAAACTCTCGGGCTTAGTGCCTTCAGAGTGATCTGTGTTTAATGTGCACTCCAGTTAGCTATGTTTTCTATTAGGCAGGGAGCGCTAGTTCAATAAAATCTTGAGTTACGTACAGCAGTTCCAACATCTGTATCACATTAGAGCAGACATGAGACAAAACACTGACTCTTGAGGTTAAATCTAAATTTCCTGCTGCAGTCCTGAAGTTTGATTTGTTAGGAGAAAAGCAACCGAGAGGAACAGAAATAGAGACTAGAACTAGAAATAGAATTCAAAGAGCAATGGTTGCCAACAATTTGTTATTTTTATGAAGTGCCATTTTAGTTAGAAATAACACACTGACCACAAACAGTCCCCCAGCTAGCAAAAAGCCACTTTCCAAACGGGGCAGTTCCACCAGTTACTCCCCTGTATTTTCACACGGCTTTGCTTTCAGCACAGCAAGAGAGCTGAAGATGCAGCAGGGAAAGCAAAGGGTGTTCCCCCGCTTCTTATGGGATTTTCAGAATTCCATCATTTCCTATAACATGTTGCTTTCCCATCTTTTTTTTAGTTAAAGAGGCCTGGCTTGGGGGCTGCTTTTGGTACTCATTAAGTCTGCTTTTTAATTGGCGTTAGGGATCCCTTTGTGCCCAGGAGCTAAACTGCTGCATCCGCATTGCTGCCATTCCCTGCTGCTCTGAGGAACAAAAGGTGCAGCCTGGAAAGCAAACCCACTGCTGGCTCTCTGGCGCCCAGCCACCCAGGCACTGCCCAAGTGATGATCATGGAGCTTTTTGTTTTGTTTTGTTTTTAATGTCCTAAAAGTAAATGTTTTATTTTAAAAATCCATTTTCAATGCATTAGATGTTTTTAACGCACATGGGAAAATAGAACTCCTCAAGCATTCTTAGAAGTAGTACACTGCTCTTCCAGGATTTTCCTATTCTTCAGCTGATTCAAAATCTGAGATCCAACAGTAAGAACACAGACCTATATTAAAGTCAGAAATAGCAAAGCACAGATGGGTGGCACAGATACACAGGGAATTCTTGTGTAGGCTGAAAGTATCAAGCCCAAATCCTCGGATTTAAGTACAATCCTATTGTCAGTCCTCCGTGTTGCACAATGTAGACTCCCTTTTCAGAGAAATAAATATTTTTAAAGCTCTTTATTGGGAATTATTTTGTCCATATTAAAAAATGCCAAATATAAGCGTAAACAAACAAACAAATCCCAATACATTTAGAAATTCAGGATTAAAGACATATCACAAGAGAAGAAATGAAAGCATTATTTTGTTTTCCAAATATGTATATGTATAAAAGCACACAGATACATACACAGACATGCATATAAATATGTGTGCATATATATATATATACATATATATATACATTTATATACATGTATATAGAAGAGATCAAAAGGTAATTCCAATCAATCTTAAGCTCAACATTAGATTTCATTTAGTGCTGTCAAATTCAATTCCAAACCAATAAGATGTTGTGTGATACAGCCAAATAAACAAACAATAATTCAAAAAAGCTAGCACACGATGGATGCCATGGTACTTTGTCACCCATGTTATTTGGACTAACAGTAATATATTTTAATTATGTGAGGGCATTTTAAATGCTCATGTAAATAAATTTAAAGACTACTGAAGACCTGCAGGAGACACGTTGTTTCCATGACACGCTGCAATTACTGTGGGTGTTGTACCTGATTCAATTCAGGCATTTCTGCAAAATACAGACTTGGTCATTGTAGAGAAAGAGAGGGTATGGCCAGAAACAAACTGCTGACACTACTGTCAGTCCCAGAAAATGCTATTTCAGTACCACACAGCTCCATGCTGGCATTCAGACAAAGCAAACAGCCTGATGCAGGTAGTTTCTGAAAACACAAAACCTCACAGACTGTAAACACCACTAAACAAAGCAACTCCAAGACACCTAAACTGCTAAACAAGTTATAGTGCTTCAAAGGAAGGACAACCTTCTCTGCTTATCTTCTCCATATCTGCTTATCTTTGCTATTGTAAACCCACTTTGTCATAAGTTCCTGACAAATTAATCACCCTTAAACTGCCCTAAAAGAAGCACTGAAATTTTATTTGTTAAGAACTGGCTGTCCTGATAGCTAAAAATTCAAAAATTCAAAAATGAGACAGTGCAATAGAGGGGTGTAATTTTAGGTGAACACTGCACTGGAAATTGTGTGAATTTGTTCAGGAAAGTACCACCCCTCTAAAAAGAATACTCCCCAGATCTTTCATTCCATTTGGGAGGCAGGGAAGAGGTCTGTGCAGACCTTCTGGGCATATCACAGAAGTTGACCAAGTCTCTAACAGTAGGTGATTGTATTTGCATTTCAGCTTACAAATAAAATACTGTCACTCTCCTCTCTCATTCTTCAATTGCCCACACCTCTGTATGGCCTTCTTCAGTACACTGCTTGGCCCTTCCATCTCTAGATTAATCATGCATCATAGTCAGTCTTTGCAATAAAGAAATGGGATGTTATCCTTTACCTTTCTTAGCCAACAGACAAGAAAAATTAGATTCAAAATATCCAGGCCTCAATATTAGCTTGAAAAAATATTTAAATGCTTTTCCCATGGTGTTTTTTCCAAATTCCTTGCACATTAGAACAGCTAGACACATGAAAATAACTTAACACACTGAATGTTTAACGTGCTGATCAGTGCCTGGAAGCAAGCTTCATCAAAAGGTGAACATTTTAGAAGCACTTGTTACTGGAACAGAAGCTTTTTATAGAATAGTGTGACCTTCTCAGGCATGTCTTGAGCAGACAACTCTTTTAATTGATTGTGCAAACCACATAACTGCATTTTGAGCTGTCCACTAAAAAAACATTTTATTTTATTAGTGTGTAAAATGGCAAACTTAAAACCACTTAGTAGCTGTGGGGGAGGAAACCTTAGAAAACAAATATATAATATGTGGACTTAATTGAGTCTGTAAAGGCTGAATACATTAGGGTGAAAAATTCACCCAAAATCCACGGTATGAAATGATTTTACAGAGATTACAGAAACATAAGGTAAACATAAACACTGTCTTCATGCACAAAGTTGATGTAGGTTTTGAACGTTTAGCATCTAAGATATTTCTTGAGTATAAAGATTGTAGAGTTATGCATTTATCACGCTTCTTAAAAACAGATGTGTTTATCACATTGTTGATTTTATACCTTATTTTCAGTGTCTAAGGAAGTACACACAGCATTTATCTCAAACTGAGCTGTAAGATAACAATTAGCATTCAGAGGGATTTAGTACAGACTGAAGAATTAGTTTATGGATGTAGCTGCTTCTTTGATGTAGTTCTGTTCA